CAGCAGTGTAAAGGGGGGCTACACTGGCCAGCAATGTAAAGGGGGGCTACACTGGCCAGCAATGTAAAGGGGGGCTACACTGGCCAGCAATGTAAAGGGGGGCTACACTGGCCAGCAGTGTAAAGGGGGGGCTACACTGGCCAGCAGTGTAAAGGGGGGGCTACATTGGCCAGCAGTGTAAAGGGAGGGCTACCCCGGACCAGCAGTGTAAAGGGAGGGCTACCCGGACCAGCAGTGTAAAGGGGGACTACACTGACCAGCAGTGTAAAGGGGGGGACTACATTGACCAGCAGTGTAAAGAGGGGGGGCTACACTGACCAGCAGTGTAAAGGGGGCCACAATAGCCAACAATGTATAGGGGAGGGGGCCACAATAGCCAACAATGTATAGGGGAGGGGGCTACACTGACCAGCAGTGTACAGGGGTGGGCTACATTTGCCTGCAGTGTAAAGGGGGGGGGGTGGCTACACTGGCCAGCAGTTTAAAGGGAGGGCTACACTGGCCAGCAGTGTAACAGAGCTACACCGACCAGCAGTATAAAGGGGGGGGGGGCTACACTGACCAGCAATGTAAGGGGGGGGGGCTACACTGACCAGCAGTATAAAGGGGGAGGCTACACAGACCAGTAGTATAAAGGTGGGGGCTACACTGGCCAGCATTGTAAAGGGGGGCCACACCAACCAGCAGTGTAAAGAGGGGGGCTATACTGACCAGCAATGTAATGAGGTGCTACCCTGACCAGCAGTGTAAAGAGGGGGGCTATACTGACCAGCAATGTAATGAGGTGCTACCCTGACCAGCAGTGTAAAGGGGGCCCACAATAGCCAGCAATGTATAGGGGGGGCTACACCAACCAGCAGTGTACAGGGGGAGGCTACATCGACTAGCATTGTACAGGGGTGAGCTACATTTGCCTGCAGTGTAAAGGGAGGGCTACACCAACCAGCAGTGTAAATGGAGGGCTACATTGACCAGCAGTGTAAAGGGGGGGCTACATTGACCAGCAGTGTAAAGGGGGGGGACTACATTGACCAGCAGTGTAAAGAGGGAGGGGGGGGGCTACACTGACCAGCAATGTAATGAGGTGCTACACTGACCAGCAGTGTAAAGGGGGCCACAATAGCCAACAATGTATAGGGGAGGGGGCTACACTGACCAGCAGTGTACAGGGGGGAGGCTACATCAACCAGCATTGTACAGGGGTGGGCTACATTTGCCTGCAGTGTAAAGGGGGGCTACACTAGCCAGCAGTTTTAAAGGGAGGGCTACACTTGCCAGCAGTGTAACAGAGAGCTACACCGACCAGCAGTGTAAAGGGGGGACTACACTAACCAGCAGTATAAAGGGGGGGCTACACTGACCAGCAGTATAAAGAAGGGGGGGCTAGCAGTGTATACGGGGGGAAATACATTGACCAGCAGTGTAAAGGGGGGCCACAATAGCCAGCAATGTATAGGGGGGGACTACACCAACCAACAGTGTACAGGGGGAGGCTACATCGACCAGCATTGTACAGGGGTGGGCTACATTTGCCTGCAGTGTAAAGGGGGGAAGGGGCTACACTGGCCCGCAGTGTAAAGGGGGGGCTACACTGGCCCGCAATGTAAAGGGGAGGCTACACTGGCCCGCTCCTTTCACCGCCAGAGTAAGGGCCTGATCCACTCTCCGCCAGCAAAAGGGGTCGCTCCACTCACCTCCAGCGTAAGGGGCCGCTCCACTCACCGCCAGCGTAAGGGGCCGCTCCACTCACCGACAGCGTAAGGGGCCGCTCCACTCACCGCCAGCGTAAGGGGCCGCTCCACTCACCGCCAGCGTAAGGGGCCGCTCCACTCACCGCCAGCGTAAGGGGCCGCTCCACTCACCGCCAGCGTAAGGGGCCGCTCCACTCACCGCCAGCGTAAGGGGCCGCTCCACTCACCGCCAGCGTAAGGGGCCGTTCCACTCACCGCCAGCGTAAGGGGCCGCTCCACTCACCGCCAGCGTAAGGGGCCGCTCCACTCACCGCCAGCGTAAGGGGCCGCTCCACTCACCGCCAGCGTAAGGGGCCGCTCCACTCACCGCCAGCGTAAGGGGCCGCTCCACTCACTGCCAGCGTAAGGGGCCGCTCCACTCACCGCCAGCGTAAGGGGCCGCTCCACTCACCGCCAGCGTAAGGGGCCGCTCCACTCACCGCCAGCTTAAGAGGCTGCTCCACTCACCACCAACTTAAGGGGCCGCTCTACTCAACAAAAAGATGAGCACAATAAATACTAATGTAGCAATGTTTGGCCCTTAGGGAATGGTCCATGCTGGTGTGAAATCCTGGGGAACGGCAGAATGTATCATAGAATGTGATATGTATGGTAGAAGGAATCACGATTATAGATGATCTCTAGGAAATGACAGGTGATCCTAGACATTAATGAGCTATAGGAAATGACATCTTATCCTACTATAGCAGTGGTCTCCAAACTGCGGCCCGTGGGACAAATGCGGCCCTTTGCTTGCCTCTATCCGGCCCTTGGAGAGTACTATTCCTCCCACTGACACAAACAAGGAGGCACCATTTCTTCCACTGGCACCAACTATGGGGAATTTTTCCTTCCATTGACACCAATGATGGGGCACTATTCCTCCCACTGACACCAATGACGGGGCACTATTCCTCCCACTGATATCAGTTATGGGGCACTATTCCTCCTAGTAATACCAATGATGGGGCACTATTCCTCATAGTAATACCAATGATGGGGCACTATTTCTCCCATTAACACCAATGATGGGGCACTATTTCTCCCACTAATACCAATGATGGGGCACTATTCCTCCTAGTAATACCAATGACGGGGCACTATTCCTCCTAGTAATACCAATGATGGGGCACTATTCCTCCTAGTAATACCAATGATGGGGCACTATTCCTCCCACTAACACCAATGTTGGGGCACTATTCCTCTTAGTAATACCCAATGATGGGGCACTATTCCTCCTAGTAATACCAATGATGGGGCACTATTCCTCCCACTAACACCAATGTTGGGGCACTATTCCTCTTAGTAATACCAATGGTGGGGCACTATTCCTTCTAGTAATACCAATGGTGGGGCACTATTCCTACCACTAACACCAATGATGGGGCACTATTCCTCCCACTAACACCAATGTTGGGGCACTATTCCTCTTAGTAATACCAATGGTGGGGCACTATTCCTTCTAGTAATACCAATGGTGGGGCACTATTCCTACCACTAATACCAATGATGGGGCACTATTCCTTCCACTAATACCAATGACTGGACAATAGGCACTAGGGACAATAGTACCTAATGACAATTAGGTACTATTCCTCAAACTAATACCAAGGATCCTAGACATTAATGAGCTATAGGAAATAACATCTGATCCTAGTCATTGATGATCTATAGCAGTGGTCTTGCCTCTATCTGGCCCTTGGAGTACTATTTCTCCCACTGACACAAACAAGGAGGCACCATTTCTTCCGCTGGCACTAACTATGGGGCATTTTTCTTTCCATTGACACCAATGATAGGGCACAAATCCCCCCATTGATATAAACAATTAGGTACTATTCCTCCCACTGACACCAATGATGGGGCACTGTTCCTCCTAGTAATACCAATGATGGGGCACTGTTCCTCCTAGTAATACCAATGATGGGGCATACCTAGTAATAATGATGGGGCACTGTTCCTCCTAGTAATACCAATGATGGGGCACCAGTAATACCAATGATGGGGCACTATTCCTCCTAGTAATACCAATGATGGGGCACTGTTCCTCCTAGTAATACCAATGATGGGGCACTGTTCCTCCTCCTACTGTTCCTCCTAGTAATACCAATGATGGGGCACTATTCCTCCCACTAACACCAATGATGGGGCTTTATTCCTCCTAGTAATACCAATGACGGGGCACTATTCCTCCCACTGATACCAATGATGGGGCACTATTCCTCCTAGTAATACCAATGATCAGGCACTATTCCTCCCACTGACACCAATGACGGGGCACTATTCCTCCTAGTAATACCAATGACTGGACACTATTCCTTCTTCCACCGACTACAAGCACTATGTTTTTTTTTTTATTTTACTCCTACTGACGCTGGGGCATTTTCTACTCCCACTGGGCCCTCCAGCCCTCCTAGAGTCTAAAGGACAGTAAACCGGCCCTTTGATTAGAAAGTTTGGAGACCCCTGATCTATAGGAAAGAACAGCGGATCCTAGTCATTGATGATCTATAGGAAATGACAGGTGATCCTAGTCATTGATGATCTATAGGAAATGACAGGTGATCCTAGTCATTGATGATCTATAGGAAATGACAGGTGATCCTAGTCATTGATGATCTATAGGAAATGACAGGTGATCCTAGTCATTGATGATCTATAGGAAATGAGAGAGGATCCTAATCATTGATGATCTATAGGAAATGACAGAGGATCCTAATCATTGATGATCTATAGGAATGACAGGTGTTCCTAGTCATTGATGATCTATAGGAAATGACAGCGGATCCTAATCATTGATGATCTATAGGAAATGACAGCGGATCCTAGTCATTGATGAGCTATAGGAAATGACAGCAGATCCTAATCATTGATGAGCTATAGGAAATGACAGGTGATCCTATATATTGATGAGCTATAGGAAATGACAGGTGATCCTATTCATTGATGATCTATAGGAAATAACTGCTGATCCTATTCATTGATGAGCTATAGGAAATGACAGGTGATCCTATTCATTGATGATCTATAGGAAATAACTGCTAATCCTATTCATTGATGAGCTATAGGAAATGACAGAGGATCCTAATAATTGATGATCTATATGAAATGACAGGTGATCCTAGTCATTGGTGATCTATAGAAAATGACAGAGGATCCTAATAATTGATGATCTATAGGAAATGATGGATAGCCCTGTCATTGATCTACAGGACCCCGGTTGTAGATGATATGACCGGTATACACACATACAATGGCGATGGTACTCACATTGGAGACGATCCTCCCTCGGTATTTCCCGGGCAGCATGTCTCATTATTGTGATATCGGGGTCAGAGGAGGATACTCCGGCGGTGCTGCCCCCACCCTCTCTGCCTCCCACACAATGCGAATATGGTGTCCTCCAGATCGCTGTCACCATGGTACCCGCCCGCCTCCCGTTCCAATTCCTAGGCTCCGCCCCATCACGCCGCGTGCCGGTCTCTATGGTGACAGATAGCTATCACTCGCGGCGAGGAAAGATGTTCACCACTTCCGGTTCTGCTTTTGCATGCAGGTGGTGGAGATTCGCTCCTCGCCTGTTCCATAGCGGATGTGATCACTGTGAGCGGACTGGCTGCATGGGAGAGCTCTGTGATTCATAGTGTGCCCAGCAGGCGGTGATCATGGTATAATACAGATGGGAGATGTGTACAGTCACATGACCACTGTTTGCTGTGTCACCAGCATAAACTCTTGCAGATCACGTGGCGTTTTTTTTAAACTCCTGCAGACTGTAGGGAGGGCAGCATATACACCCCTGTACACAAGTATCACTTGGATCAGGGCCTGATCTAGGGGGTGCTGGGGGCTGCACCTAGGGTCACCACCTCATCCCTGTAAAACTGAAAACCTATGAACAGGGGCAGACTGACAACTCATGGGGCAATAGGGGATTATGGGGCTCCGGTATCCTTGCCCACACTCAAAGCACACCCAAAAAGCCTATAAAAAAGGTACCAGGGGCATTTCATGGGGCCCCCTACTGACCCTGGGCCCTCGGGAAGTGCCTGGGTGCCCGAATGGTCAGTCCGCCCCTGCCTATGAATTAAACAGGATCTGAGGCTTAATTATTGCACACAAGGCACTATGTGAGTTTAGTTACCACCTTAATAAGCCACAGGACCTGTGTAATTCATATGTGTTCAGTTTAGGGATGAGGGCAACCCTCGCTGCACCCCCCCCCCCCCTTCAAGATTTCAGGAGCCCCCCAGCACCCGTATCAGGAAGTGGAGTGACTAGGGGGAAACCACGCAGCCTGTGCGGGACCTATGACACACCACATCATTCATCTTCATGGTGCAGGGGGGCTGAGCAGGGAGCACAGCATCATTCAATACTATGGTGTCAGCCACCTTCACCCACAATGTTGAATTCGATGACGCTGATCCTGGGCAGGCACTCAGAAGAGGACAGAAGTCCTGGTTCAGTCCAGACCAGCTCTGCCATTTGTCATGATGCCGTCAGGGCTGGATTTCACAATAGATAGTGTAGGCATGTGTCTAAAGGCGCCCTTTATAGAGGGGAACCCATCTGGAGGAGAGAGAGACCACCTTACATCAGAGTTCCCCTTTTCATCATGGTCTGCAGTGTCCCCCTTACATCAGAGTTCCCCTTTACATCATGGTCCACAGTGTCCCCCTTTACATCCTGGTTGCAGTGTACACCCCCTTACATCAGAGTTCACCTTTACACCATGGTCCACAGTGTCCCCCTTACATCAGAGTTCCCCTTTACATCAGTTCCACAGTGTCCCCCTTACATCAGAGTTCCCCTTTACATCATGGTCCACAGTGTCCCCCTTACATCCTGGTTGCAGTTCCCCCCCAGAGTTCACCTTTACACCATGGTCCACAGTGTCCCCCTTACATCACAGTTCCCCTTTACATCATGGTCCACAGTGTCCCCCTTATATCAGCGCTCCCCTTTACATCATGGTCCACAATGTCCCCCTTACATCACAGTTCCCCTTTACATCATGGTCTGCAATGTCCCCCTTACATCAGAGTTCTCCCCTTTACATCATGGTCCACAGTGTCCCCCTTACATCAGAGTTCCCCTTTACATCATGGTCCACAGTGTCCCCCTTACATCAGAGTTCCCCTTTACATCAAGTTCCACAGTGTCCCCCTTACATCAGAGTTCCCCTTTAAATCAAGGTCCACAGTGTTCCCCTTACATCAGAGTTCCCTGTAGCAATCGTGCACACAGAGATGGACGCGGTCATCTATTTTGCTCTGTGATGACTTTTGGACTATTTATTAAGAAAAATGATATTATCCCAAATAGGGAATTCTAAGCTGACTGATGGGGTACCATCCTTAGTTGATTTCAGGTGACCTTCCAGGAAGCTACCATAAACAATGAGTGGAAAAAATCTGTTTAAAAGACAATAAGTTTAACCACTTGCCTACCAGGCACTTATACCCCCTTATTTACCAGGCCAATTTTCAGCTTTCAGCGCTGCCGCACTTTGATTGACAATTGCGCGGTCATGCAACATTGTACCCATATGAAATTTTGATCATTTTTTTCTCACAAATAGAGCTTTCTTTTGGTGGTATTTAATTGCCACTGGGCGCTTTATTTTTTGCGCTATAAATAAAAAAGTGCCAAAAATTAAAAAAAAAAAAAAAAGTTTCTTTGTTTCTATTATAAAAATTTTTCAAACAGGCATTTTTTCTCCTTCACTGATGTGCATTGATGAGGCAGCACTGATGGGCACTGATAGGCGGCACTGATGGGCACTGATGGGCACTGATAGGCAGCACTAAAGGGCACTGATAGGTAGTACTAATGAGGTGGCACGGATAGGCGGCACTGATAGACAGCACTAATGAGGTGTCACGGATAGGCGGCACTAATATGCAGCACTGATAGGTGACACTGATGATGGGTACTGATAGACGGCACTGACTGGCATCACTGCTGGGCACTGACTGGCACAACCCCTGGGCACTGACTGGTGGCACTGACTGGCAGCACTGCTGGGCTGCACTGGTGGGTGGCACTGGTGGGTGGGCACAGGTGGGTGGCACTGGTGGGCACAGGTGGGTGGCACTGCTGGGCACAGGTAGGTGGCACTTCTGGGCACAGGTGTGTGACACTGCAGAGTGGCACAGGTGGGTGCACTGCTGGGCACAGGTGGGTGATCTGCTGGGCACAGGTGGGTGGAGCTAGTGGGCGCACTGCTGGGCACAGGTTGGCGGAACTTGCGGGTGGCACTGCTGGGCACCGATCATCAGGGCACTGATCATCAGTGCCCTGATGATCGGTGCCGAATCCCGCTCTGACAACTGCCGGTTCTCGGCAGTACTTTCCTCACGATCTGACAGCGTGAGGAAAGTGCAGCCGAGAACCGGCACTTGCATTTCCCTCTGATCAGCGTGTCATTGGACACCGCTGATCACGTGGTAAAAGGCCGCTGTGATTGGCCTTTTACCACATCACGTGATCAGCTGTGTCCGTAGGACACAGCGATCACGGAGATCGCCGGGTGCGCGCCCCCTGGGGCGCGCAGGAGAGCGCGTTCTGGGAGGACGTCATATGACGTCCACTCAGAACTGGTCGGCCGCAGTGCAGCCGTCATTCGGCTATCTGCGGTCGGCAGGTAGTTAAACACTACTATTTGAATTTCTGCAGATGATCACACACAGTACCATAATTGACAATCATGGGACTAGGACCTTATTGTCTATAGCTCTCCCAAAAACTTGGAAGGTGTGTGATCACCAAACAAACCTCTGAGCTATCACAATCAGCTATTGAATACTGTGGTTAAACTCCAGTCCAGTCTGTTTACTCTAATTACCCAACAATGGATGAAGCTTCCTATGTCACATCTCCTTGAACTGTGCATTCAGCATAATGTGAAACTTGGTTCATTTAAGATTACAAAACAAAAAAAAAAGAGCTTGGTATATATCTAAACTGAAACATTATCAAAGGTATTGTATACCCATACACCAAAATCTATTCAACAAAGTTGGGTACTGCATACCACTCAACTGAAGATTGAAGTTATAAAATATAAGATGGTTTGTGAGTTGGGTAAGTTCTATATTTCCAAAGGAAATCAGCCATCCCAATACAGTTCATATATCAGAAAAATGAGAAACCAAATATATTCACATATTTCTATGGTCCTTATTTGAGAGTTAGTGGGGAAATCATTTACACCTGAATAGCATCCATTTATTTTATCCATAAAGACATACTGTTTATATCAAAGGGTGAGTCATCATTAAGATCACCAGTTCATTTGTGATACCTGCCTGTCCCCAGTGGACAGGTAAGGAACTTCTCTAGGTATGCAAACCTCTCAACCGTCCAATCAACAAGCCCATTGGGAGGTCATTCGGAACATAAAAATGCCACACACCTCAAATTAAAAATCTTCACTAAAATCATCATTTCACTAAACTACTCACTTCTAAATCACTTCTATGAACTACTTCTTCTGAAATCATTACTTGATCACTTCATCACTTCTTACTACTTCTGAAACTACTTCTTAACTACTCTACTACCACTATGTACTGCACTATACTCACTTGCTACCTGCGGCCATTTTGCTGAGAACTTCCAGCTGCCATTTTTTTTTGAAGGTCATTTTGAAGGAAAAGATGTTTGTCAGAGGCGCTGCTGCTCATTTAAATTCTGGTGCCTGACTGACTAGAAACATTTTCTTTTCCAAACTGTATCCCACTGGGAGGCCTCAAAAATCGAAATTCGGGGAGTGATGAGACTGTGCCAAAATATTGTAATTTTCTTTTATATTTCAAACTTATTAAGATTTACATTTGTATTGTATGGTTAGGAAGGTACTAAGGGTATTTGAATAATTATTACTGTAACTGTTTGAGTATTAGTACTGAGGTTATATACTGCATACTAACTGATTTGTAGTGTTTTTGTGGTGCTAATTATCAGAGATACTTTCTTATTTCCCTACGGCCGCGGGAAATTGGAAATAATATCTGAAGCACTATAGGTTCCAACTAACCCCTCTAAAATTTATTTTAAGTCATTTGATAATCATATATTGTATGATACCATAGAGATAAGTGTACTGTATCTTTGATCGTGTATACGAATATATTCATTACCAGTATTTTGTGTTTGTATTAATATATATATAAATATTTGTACATAAATAAATGTATTTATTTATTTATCAAAAAGGCAAATTTTGTGTATATGGTAACAAAATCACATTGGTGAAAAGAACTCAGGGAATATTATTAAGTGGTGATCAAATTATTAAGGTG